AACTCCTGTGGCACCCAACAAAGGAAGGGCTGTGAGCTGAACCTCTCACTCCCTATTAAAATTGATTGGGACTGGTCTCTGAGAAAGAATGGCAACCAACATAAAACTGTGACACCCATCCCCATTTCCCTAAGAGAGTCCAAAAACAGACCCTTGTCAAAGATACCAAAAGTCACAGAGATATCAGAAAGATCCAGGATAGATCCACCATCTCCATCCTATTCCCATCAGAGATCATCCATAAGTGCAACCAATGTTGTCCCATACCCAGGCCTGAAACCTGACTAAAGGGATCTAGATAATCCATTTCTTCCAGAATCCTGTGAAACTGCATGCCACTACATTCTTTCCCCAAAAGGGCTGGTCGGAAACTGGATAAAAATTGTTCAGCAACAACTAACGTCCAGCAATGGCTTCTTGAGCGAAGGGCAGCCCAGTGCCTCTTTAAATAAAAAAAAAAGAGCCAGGAATAACCTACCCAACAAGGAGGAATTCCCCATTATTTGGACACACCTACATGATACCTCCCTGGTGGTCTTAACCAACCAGGAGGGGGCATGAATCTAATGTGGAGGTGATGGCATTCCATAGGACCCTATCCATTTCTTCAGGTCCAACAGAATCAAACCATTCCCAGATTACTAAGTAAATTATCTGAGATTATTCTAATTATGACATCTAAATTATTTCAGAACTGAACTGACCATTTTTTTTTTGTTCTCCTTAGATAGTGATCAGCAAGCAGCATTACATCCTCTCTTGTCTACAATGTAGAAATCTCAAATAAATTTCTTCCTATTGAGCACCCTTGATAATAATAGGCCATTGTTTTTCTTACCATGAGGCTCAATTCACAAAGGAGCAAACTGACAAATCAAAATCAGATCTGATGTTTAATACTCTACTGCAAGGGTCTTCAAACTTGGCAAGTTTAAGACTTGTGAACTTCAACTCCCAGTATTCCTGAGCTAACATGACTGGAGGAGGAATTCTGGGAGTTGAAGTCCACAAATCTTAAAGCCCGTCAACTTTGAAGACCCCTGCTCTATTTTGTAAACTGGAGCCATGACTCAGTCACTCTAAATTTCAGGTCTGAGCTTGTCAGTTTTGCAATTTTAGGTGGAAAATTTGTCAATTTCACCATCTCTCAATCTTTTTTCTCCGTCAACTGGGCACACAAAAATGCACCTATACAAATTAACAGAAAGCATTTGATTGTTGCAATAAATGTGTATTCTGGAGCCGCCTGGAGTAGCTTTTTGTTTTGTTTTTTTGCTAATTGGGGCAACCTGGCCAAACACAGGGCTTGTTTTGCTCAACACAGAGATAGTCCTCAATTTTCAACAGTTCATTTAGTGACCGTTTGAAGTTACAACAGCATTGAAAACTGTTTGCCTACGATTGTTTTTCACACTTATGACCATTGCAGCATCCTCACGATCACATGATTAAAATTGACTCATATTCATGACGGTTGCAGTATCCCAGGGTCATGCTGCGAACTTCTGAAAAGCAAAGTCAATGGGGAAGATTCCCTTAACAACCTGGTTACTAACTTAATGACTGCAGTGATTCACTTAACAACTGTGGCAAGAAAGGTCATAAAATGGGGCAAAACCCACTTAAGAAACGTTTTACTTTGCAACATACATTTTGGGCTCCATTGTGGTCATAAGTCGAGAATTGCCTCTATTTATTTTTCTTTCAAAACCCCCAATGGTGCTTCTTAGCTGCGTACTTCCACATCAATTGCACCTGCTTAAAAAGTTGGAGGATTCAGATCTCTCAAATCCTCAAGTTCTTTTGCACCACAGCCCCCAGCAAGCTGCACTGCTTCTCCCCTCCCTCATGTCACAAAGGTTCTTTTTCAAGAGGCAACTGGACTTTCTGGTTTTTCTCTGACATTTCACTTCTCATCCAAGAAGTTTTTTCAGCTCTGACTGGATGGTGGTGTGGAGCCTTCTTGGAACTGTTGAAAGAACTGTGCTGTAGGATGGAGATAGATGATGTCATATCCGCTCTGTCCACTGACAGAGAGGACCGCTGGTTTGAAAGCGGGGCGGTCGAAGAGGCCATCTATGTCAAAATTGAATAGCCCTCTCTCAACAGAGGGGAAGGGATACAATACATCATCATCAGTCTACAACACAGTCCTTTCAGCAGTTCCAAGAAGGCTCCACACCCAGGGGTGGGTTTCTACCAGTTCTGTCCACCTCTGTAGAACCGGTAGCTCTGAAGAGCAGCAGACGTAGAACTGCTGATGTTTTTGCCCACCAGCCCACCCGGGCTCTTACCTGATCTTTATTTCCTGATTTTTCAACTTCAGCTGCTGAACGAGGCACAGCTGCAGTTAGAAAAGCAAGAAAAGAGGGCTGTTTCAAAGGCTGCTTCTCTGCAGGCAGCTGCTGCTGACGATTTACAGGCTCGCAGCCTGCAGGGAAGCTCGTAAATCCCGAACCGGTAGTTAACCCTGTCATATCCCACCCCTGTCCACACCCATTTGCAGATGACCCAGAGGACACAGATAAACCTCCAGGTGGCCGCAACGATTCCCTAATTAAAAGAATGCAAATGACCAGCTGTCTGCAAGAACTATAAATCCTTCCATTCCCCACCATCCAATCAGAACTGAAGAAGCTTCTTGGATTAGAAGCGAAACATCTTCAAAGAAAAATCAGAAAGTCCAGCTGCCTCTTGAAAAAAACAAACACCTTTGAGGTAACCGTGACCTCAATAGCCCCCTCTCTCGGTTTTCCATCTAACCATTCTCTCCAAACGCCTCAGACCTCCATTACGCTTAACGCAACAAGAAGTTGAGATTCTAGGCTTAGACAACCTTGAACTACACCAGCTAAGATTGGACTTAAGCATAATACGCTGCTCAAAAAAATAAAGGGAACACTTAAACAACACAATGTAACTCAAGTGAATCACACTTCTGTGAAATCAAACTGTCCACTTAGGTAGCAACACTGATTGACAATCAATTTCACATGCTGTTGTGCAAATGGAATAGACAACAGGTGGAAAGCATAGGCAGTTACCAAGGAGTGGTTCTGCAAGTGGTGACCACAGACCACTTCTCAGTTCCTATGCTTTCTGGCTGATGATTTGGTCACTTTTGAATGCTGGAGGTGCTTTCACTCTAGTGGTAGCATGAGACAGAGTCTACAACCCACACAAGTGGCTCAGGTAGTGCAGCTCATCCAGGATGGCACATCAATGCGAGCTGCGGCAAGGTTTGCTGTGTCTGCCAGCGTAGTGTCCAGAGCATGGAGGTGCTGCTAGGAGACAGGCCAGTACATCAGGAGACATTGAGGAGGCCGTAGGAGGGCAACAACCCAGCATCAGGACCGCTACCTCCGACTTTGTGCAAGGAGGGACAGGAGGAACACAGCCAGAGCCCTGTAAAATGACCTCCAGCAGGCCATAAATGTGCATGTGGCTGCTCAAACGGTCAGAATCAGACTCCATGAGGGTGGTATGAGGGCCCGACTTCCACAGGTGGGGGTTGTGCTTACAGCTCAACATCATGCAGGACGTTTGACATTTGCCAGAGAACACCAAGATTGGCAAATTTGCTACTGGCGCCCTGTGCTCTTCACAGATGAAAGCAGGTTCACACTGAGCACATGTGACAGATGTGACAGGGTCTGGAGACGCCATGGAGAATATTCTGCTGCCTGCAACATCCTCCAGCATGACCGGTTTGGCAGTGGGTCACTAATGGTATGGGGTGGCATTTCTTTAGGGGGCCACACAGTCCTCCATGTGCTCGCCAGAGGTCGCCTGACTGCCATTAGGTACCGAGATGAGATCCTCAGATTCCTTATGAGACCATATGCTGGAGCGGTTGGCCCTGGGTTCCTCCTAATGCAAGACAATGCTAGACCTCATGTGGCTGGAGTGCGTCAGCAGTTCCTGCAAGACAGGCATTGATGCTATGGACTGGCCCGCCCGTTCCCCAGACCTGAATCCAATTGAGCACATCTGGGACATCATGTCTCACTCCATCCACCAAATCCACGTTGCACCACAGACTGTCCAGGAGTTGGGGGATGCTTTAGTCCAGGTGTGGGAGGAGATCCCTCAGGAGACCATCCGCCACCTCATCAGGAGCATGCCCAAACGTTGTAGGGAGGTCATACAGGCACATGGAGGTCACACACACACCACTGAGCCTCATTTTGAGTTCTTTTAAAGACATTACATCCAAGTTGGATCAGCCTGTAGTGTTTTTTTCCACTTTAATTTTGAGTGTAACTCCAAATCCAGACCTCCGTGGGTTGCTAAATTTGATTTCCATTGATAATTTTTGTGTGATTTTGTTGTCAGCACATTCAACTATGTAATGAACAAAGTATTTCATAAGAATATTTCATTCATTCAGATCTAGGATGTCTTATTTTTGTGTTCCCTTTATTGTTTTGAGCAGTGTACATAAACTCCTATGTTACGTCTTACCAGTTAATGAATATTTCAACTTTAACCACAACAACACAAGAGCAGACAACAGATATAAACTTAATGTAAACCACTCCAAACTCGATTGCAGGAAGTATGATTTCTGCAATAGAGTGGTCAATGTCTGGAACTCCCTACCCCATTCGGTTGTCACCTGCTCAAACTAATTTACTCATTTCCCCTCAAACTAACCTCTATTGACCTCACCCCATTCCTAAGAGGTCTGTAAGGGGCGTGCATAAGCGCACAATCGTGCCTACCGTCCCTGTCCTATTGTCCCCAATTATTAGTTCCTATTTCTTGTGGTTAAACTTATGTTTATTCTTATTTCTATGGTATTGTAACCTTTTGACTAAATCAAGAAAGAAAGAAAGAAAGTTCGGCGCTTAAAGCAGCTTCTTCTCGCCCGGGCGCCTGGAGGGGAGGGGGCGTGGTCGCCTGGGGGGGGGGGGGGGGGCGGCTTTCTCGTCGCTCTCCGCCGCCGTCCCCCTCAGATGGCTGCTTTGGCGCGAGTCGTCGCAACCGCTTCCCCCGCTCCTCTGGGATACCGCAGCATGACCGCCGGAAGCCGGGCTCGGTGGCTCTCGCTGGTGGCCCTTTGCTGGGCTCTGGCGTCGAGGGGCGCGACCGGCTCGGCTTGCGCTCCGTGCAAGCCGGACCTCTGCGCGTTTGTGCAGTGCGCCGTGCCGGAGCTGACGGCCCGGGACGAGTGCGGCTGCTGCGAGCGTTGCCTCGGCGCGGAGGGGGAACGCTGTGGCGGGACGCAGGGCGCTCGTTGTGGCCCTGGGTTGGTGTGCGTGAGCCAACGCCAGGCAGAAGCGCCCGAAGTCGACGCCGACGCCGAAGAGGGAACCGGCCGTTGCGTCTGCAAGGAGGACGGCGCCGTCTGCGGCTCCGACGGCCGGTCCTACAGTAGCGTGTGCGCTCTGCACCTGCACAGCTGGCGCGCGGTCCTCGACGGCCGCGAGCGCGTCCGGAAGGCCCACGACGGCGAGTGCAAACTTGGTGAGCCGCGCGGCGCGGGTGGGGTGGGGTGGGGGTGAGGGAAAGCCGAGAGAGCGGTCGCCACAAAACACCCGTGGCTTGCTTCCTCTCGTTCCCGACAGCCCCAACTTTCCAAACCTTGCACTCTTTTGATATTTTAATCGGAGAGAGAAATGCATGTCAGTCTGAATTGGAACAATGGGTTGTTCTTTATATTCACACACGCGCTCGCGCGCGCGCACACACACACACACACACACACACACACACACACACACGCAATCAAGGTAAAAACTTGAACGTTTGCAGTAACAGACCTGTTTGCAGTAACCTTAGTCTTAGGCACTGTTTTTAAGACTTTATATACTATTGTATCTATTAAGACTGTTGTCACTTTATAGGAGCCTGCAATTATAGCATAGCTTTTGAGTGTGTGTGTGTGTGTTTGTGTGTGTGTACACATGCATTCATACATGTATGTATGTATTGGGATATCTGTCTTATCTATCTACATCTACCTACCTACTTATCTATCTATCATCTATCCATCCATCCATCTATCCATCTAGCTACACACATATACACACACAGGGTGGAGGGGAGAGAGAGAGAAGGATATAAATAATTATCCTGTTTCGTTCAGGTAAAGCAACAATATACAAAATACAGACAATACATGAAATACAATGGGGAAAAGAAATCAAGGGGAATTCTAAAAGTAGATCATTAAACTTCTCAGGAACTGCCTATCCTGACAACTGTTCTTACTTCCATCCTGATCCTATGTTGCCTTGGGTTCCTTGCACCTTTCTCCAGCGTAATATATGATCTCTTCAAAGCGGGTAGCATCCAGGAAGGAAATATCAATGAATTCAAGTTGGGGAATTGAGAATTTGGACTATTATATGGTCCATAAATATGAACACGGACCACATATGGCTATTGACACTCCGACAACCTGAATGCAGGCACACTTGTAATCCTGGTTTCATGCAACACTCATAATTTAGTTAAATTAAGTCATGTTCAGAAAACGTGGGTTATGCTTCCGCTACAAGTTCGAGCACCCATTCCCATTCCACAGGCACTACTGTTACAGTAGCTCAGAAGTCATCTTATGCCACTATAACATCTAGGCGCGAACTTTTCCTAACAACTTTCCATAAACATAGCCAGATAGGGTATTATATAGAAAGAGTGTTCTATTCACCCAAACTCACCAGCCTGGGATTTTATGTGACATGTTGGGGGCTTGGATTAAGAAGACCTAGATTCACATCCCCTTCCACCTCTAAAAGTCATTAGATGGCCCTCAGCCAACGGAGTCTCTTTCAGCTTAACTCCCATGTTTGTCACAAGGTGGGAAAGGAAGAAGCGGGGGATGATCGTGTGTAGTGGGCATAGGGACAGGTGGAAGAACTGCTACCACAGTCAGACAAGTAAAGCCAGGAAAGTAATTTGAGAAAACATCCCCTCTCTAATTCACCGGAAGATAAAGTGAGATAGTGGAGAGAACATTTAGACTTGCAAGATACTGTTCCAATAATAGTAGTTTTATATGGCATTGAATTTTTCATCTGGTCTATTTATAAAGCTGAGGTGTGTGTGCTATTCCAACAAACATAATAAATAATTGTTTAAATGGGGCCACTGTTGCCTATTATTGTATTATTACATGCATCTTCTCAGCTGTCTATTTAAATGGTAATAAAAGTACGTGCAAAGGAGAGGGGAACACATTTCTCTGTTAGTAAGTACTTCATTATATCTTAACCCAAGGGCACTAATTTACACACATATAATCAGTGGGGTAACATTTAATGGCCCCCTTTGGGAACCAGGCTGGGCGTAACAGCTGTTCTCTTTCTATTTGTAATCAGGCCTGTTCCTTTCACTTTGGTTTGTGTGTGTGTGTGTGTGTGTGTGTGTGTGTGTAAATGCAAATATATAAGCATTTCAATAATACATTGCATTTCTTTTCTTTCTTTTTTAGTTTTATTTGTGCAGTGTAACACATTACTATTTTAGAAATAAGTCCCCTTATTTCAAATCTCTGTGGTATGACTAGAAATGCCCAGCCATGTTTTGGATATTCACTATGCTATTTAATGTAATGCTGCCCAACTGGAGGGTCGAAGTCTTTGGATACATGTGAATAAAATCTCTGTATTCATGATTTGTAGCCCTTTCTTTAAACAAAAGCCAAGCTTTTCCCCATCCCGCTGAACGTCATTCAATCTTGCTTAAGAGAGGACTGGGAGAAGTGGGAATCTTACTTGAGACAGGACCCTTTCAAAAGGGCCTGTGTCTCCTATAAGCTGCTCCCTCCCAAGGGCCAGCCAGCTTTATAATGTTCTGACTACTGTGTGTGTGTGTTGGGGGGGGGGGCGGGGGGAGAGGGGGAAATGACAGATCTCTTTTTGTATCACCAGCAGTGCTTTTCATACCCCTTAATCCTCTTGCTGACTCAACCAGTCTGAGATTAGTTTGAAATTTGCTCATTTCACTGCCACTTAGGGTTACAGGTTACATTTCCATGAATTCTATACACACATTTCTGTGGATGAGTAGATTTTAGAAACCCCTTTAATTTTAAAGGGAACAGAAAGGGGGATTTTTAAAAAAATGATCAAAATAATCCAAACAGAAACTAGAAATAATCACAAAAGTCCAAAAAATAGTATAAAATGTTTAAATAGCGGAGGCCCGGGTGGGGTTACTATAATGCTTTTTCCTCTAATGTTTTTATGCTAATTTTGTTTTGCCTTTTTTCAAACTAAACAAAATTTGTTTATAACATTTTCATTTCAACCTTTGCTCTAGTGTAAATTTATTTTATGTATGTATGTGCATTGTTATCCCTGATTTTTGATTGTTTTACCTAATTAATATAAAAATAAAATCAGGAGGAGGGATAATGAAATGTTCTTCCAATTGTAGCTTAGGTAAAAGAGCTACCAAGTAGTCTTACTTATTTATCCAATTTTTATCCTTCCTTTTTAAACAACTTGCCCTGTTCACAGAAACAATTAACACAGTCAGCCAATCACCCAATCAGATCTTCTAACCAGTGGTTTTTGGTAGACAAAGTACAACAAGAGTCATCATTTTGGGAATACGTAGTTCCTGCCCACTTTCTTTAGCAAGTTGTGTCCCATGTTCATATTCCCACAAATAAGGTACAGTATTTAACAAATAACATGGGAAGAGAATGGGGAAAATGGTTTCATATTACATAGCAGGGGTGTCTGTTGTATATGACCAAATATGGCCAAGGGGTGGAGTCAGCTAATATACTCCACTCATTGGCCCCACTGCTGGCGGGAAAAACAAAGTCTCATCAGTGGCTGAAGCTTTGGACAGCGCCAACTATAAAATCGGGCGCCTGCCACGGCTGAGCGGCTTCTTCCTAGACTAAAAGAAATAAAGGTTGCTTACCAGTTCCCCGCGTCCTGCCTCTCCTTTACCACGTGGACCCTTTGAACACTGGCGACGAGGGTGGGATTCTGAACTGTGGAGAGAACAAAGGACATCTCATGGGGTCGGCGCCATTTTCAACCGCAGCCGACCAACGACATGGCACAGCGCATGACCAGCCTGGCCCACCGCCTGATGGCCGTCCCTTACGATCCCGCTAAGGAGAAATGATCGTCCTACATGGGCTGATTCAACCTACACCTAGAAGTTAATGGACTCCAAGCAGCCCCCGATGTGCAAAAAACATACTGTGATGTTGAGATCTATGAAATGACCAATACCCTGGTCCCGTACGATCTACAGACTGTATCCTGGGACTAGCTACAGCACACCCTCTGTAGTCACTATGGCCCGTCTCCGTCCTATCTGGACAGCCGCTACGACTTCTACATGTCGAGAGAGGGAGAGACGATCAATTCATTCGTGGCAAATCTATGGAGAATTGCAAAGAACTGCAGATTCCCAGATACTGAGGGGATGATCCGGGACCGGATCATCCTAGGAACAAAGGATCCCGCACTAAAAAAGAAAATCCTGGCCCATGGGGATATCTCCTTCCAAAAAGCCGTCAACGAAGCCAGAGCCGCCGAATCATCCGACAACTCAGCGGCACAGATCCGAGGGAACGGAAGAGTCCACACAACTGGGACCAAGTGCCTGCTGTGGCCTAGTAAGTCTGACTCCAGTAACGACGATGATGGCAGAGACGTACATAAGCTGAGGTCCAGTAAGCCAGGCAGGAAATCAGGATCCCGAGAGTGTGGCGGCTTCAGCAGAAACCACCTCTGATCCATGTGCCATTTTAAAGACACCGTATGCCGGAGATGCGACCCTTAATAAAGTGCTCCAGCAAAGTGCCCACCCAGTGCCCATAGTCCAGCACCTCCTACACTCCCTGGGCCAGGGGACTATATTCGCTAAATTGGACCTGGCCCAGGCTATTAGCAACTGCCTGTCGACGAGGCTACTGCTGAGGCGCAAACCATCATCATGCACAGGGGGGCATTCAAGTGCAAGAGACTTCAATTCAGCGTAGGCATAGCCCCAGGCCTGTTCCAGAGTATCATGGAGCGGTTGCTGCACAACATCCCTGGAGTAATACTCTACTTTGACAAAGTAATTGCTTCAGCTACCAGCAGGGAGCAATTGATGGAACGTCTAAGGGCAGTCCTGGGAAGATTCCAGGAGGCAGGATTGAAATTTAAAAAAACAAATGTCACATAGTGGTCCTGCAGGTAGAATTTTTGGGGTTCCTAATTGACGCCACAGGCATCAGACCCACAAAAGGGAAAGCTTAAAGTGATAAGGGAAGCCCCCATGCCACAAAACAAAGTGGAGCTGCAAGTGTTCCTAGGGTTGCTGAACTTTTACAATGTGTTTCTGCTGCAGAAAGCAACCATTGCAGAACTGCTCCACAGGCTGCTCGATAAAACGGCAAGCTGGACTTGGGGACAACAGGAGGCCGAACCATTTAAAAAAATAAAAAGCATCTTAACATCGGACCATGTTATCATCCAATACAGCGAGACGCTACCATTAACTTT